AGTAGTAGTAGTAGTAGTAGTAGTAGTAGTAGTAGTAGTAGTAGTAGTAGTAGTAAGTAGTAGTCAGAAGTCATTGTTAGTAATGGTGTTTAGTAGTCGTCCCTACTATAATCGTTCAACAAATTCTCAATAATAGTAGTGGTAGTGGCAATGGTAGTTGCAGTAGCCGTGCTGGTAGTGGTCGTAGTAGTAATTTGTAGTCGTTGTAGTAGTAGTAGTAGTCGTAGTCGTCGTCGTCGTACTTGGTAGTAGTACTTAGTTGTAGTGTTTAGTAGTAGTGTCTAGTAGTAGTGCTTAGTAGCAGTCCTTAGTGGTAGTGCTTAGTAGTAGTCGTAGTAGTAGTAACAGCAGCAGCAGCAGTAGTAGTGGTAGTGGTGGTAGTCGTGGTAGTGGGTATAGTTGTAGTAGTGGTAATGGTAGTAGTAGTAGTTGCAGTAGTCGTAATGGTAGGTGTAGTGGTAGTAATTTCTATTTGTGGTAGTTGCAGTAGTAGTCGTCGTAGTTATAGTGCTAGTGCTAGTGGTAGTAGTGAGTAGGAGTAGCAGTAGTAGAGCAGTGGTAGTGGTAGTGGTAGTAGGAGTAGTAGGGTAGCAATAGCAGCAACAATGTTAACATCCGTGTGATGAACCATGAGACAATAGTAATCAGTTTTTTGCCAGCCCGGATTTTGCAACAGTACTTTTAATTGCGCCAACATCCAGACCCCAAAATGGATCAGAATTTAGTTTATCAATTGTAAACCTGAGACAATCGTAGTCTGCTTTTTGGCCTGCCAGAATTTTACAATACTACTTTTGATTGCGCCAACATCCAGACCCCAAAATGCTTTCAGAATGCTTCCTCTTTTCATCTCAGAATTCTTTCGCTTGTCAGGACTCGAACTTGGACAGAGTAAACTGAGTCTCTTTGCCAGAGCCTAGCCAAAACAAAAACTTTGGCTGGCCAAAAGCTTAAGGTGTCATTATTCAAACCCTATCAAAAGAAAAAAATGTCTTCAAAGGGTACCCGGTTTTAGACTCCCACCCCTTGGAATTATAGACAAACCTACAATAAGCAACCCCCCTCCAGCCCTGCTGGCTTGTCCCTGCCTTCCGCTTCCCCTTTTACTTTTAAGTTCCTCTATTTTCTTCTGTATTCGTTTGTTTTTTTCTTTTTTTGTCGAATCTCTAGTTTTAAAGTATGTAATCTTTGCCCATCAGAATTCCAAAAACATTGGCTAGCCAAAAGCTTTAGGTTTCCTTTTTCAACCCCTATCAAGCAAATGCAACAAATTATCTTCAAAGGGTACCCCTTTAGACTCCCACCCCCTGCAATTCTCAACAAACCTACAATATCCTACAATAATCAACCCCTCTCCAGCCCTGCTGGCTTGTGCTTTCCCTTTTACTTTTAAGTTCTCCTATCGGCTTCTTCTTTCTTCTTCTTTCTTTGCTTTTTTTGTGGAATCGTTAATTGTTGTTTAATCTTTGCCCATCAGGTTTCCAAAAACATTGGCTAGCCAAAAGCTCTAGGTTTCCATGTTCAAACCCTATCAAACAAGTACCAAAAATTATCTTCAAATGGTACCCCTTTAGACTGGACAGGGGTTCGTTTGTACACGCGGAAATCGGATCGGTCTGTACACGCGGTGACGGGGATCGTCTGTACACGCGGGGATCGTATGTACATGCGGCTTCCGTATGCGGGGTGCCTAAACAGTGGCCATACTTTGGGTTCTTACGGTAGGTGCAAAGGCCGGGTGTTGATCCAGGGTGCTCAGATGTGTGTGAGCCCCACCCCTCCCCACCCAACCCCACCCCACCACCGCACCCTTACTTCAACACTGGGATATTAGATATGAATGCCAGTCGAAGTGAACGCCACCCCACCCCACCCCACCCGATGTGCCCTGCGCAGATGATCCAGATTTGTGTGCGCAGATGATCCAGATCTGTGTGCGCAGATGATCTTGGCTGTGTGCGCAGATGATCCTGATCTGTGTGCGCAGATGATCCCCTGTCCCTTTAGACTCCCACCCCGTGCAATTATAAACAAGCCTACAATAATCAACCCCCCTCCAGCCCTGCTGGCTTGTCCTTGCCCTGCGCTTTCCCCATTACTTTTAACAAGAAAGATTTTCTCAACGAGCGCAATGCAAGAGGCCAGGGAGGACTTGAGCCTATCTTTCAATGAGTTTCTTCCCCCCCAGAAAGGAAAAGCGCACACCGTAGGACTTGAGCGCAGGCCCTCTGGCTTCTGAACCCTACTGCAGCACCACTAGGCCACACAGGCTGTTGACAACAGGGTGAAAGTATGAAATCTGCCTGCCTGTCAGCCGCGGCCATCCTGAACTACTTTAAGCCACAAAACCAAAAAAAGCGCCAACCAGGACAAACTGAGCACACTGCAAGCAGTAGTCATTTTTGCTCGAGGTGGACAATCTGTCCTTCCCTGCCTCATGGCTGCAGAACTGCGGCCCCCGGGCACACTGAAGAAGTCACTCATTGCCCTTTGAGCAGTCTCTTGGTCGTGGAGGGCGCTTTGAACCAAAACGACGCCAAAATGAAAATTGCACAAAGTGGCTTGGTTGGTTGTTGGCTGGTTGGAACAATGGAAGCACTGCTTGTGTCTTCTGGCTTTAGAAGCAGTTGATGCCCAGGCAGGACACAATCCTCACAATCCTCTTCCTTGCCCAAAACAGAGCAAGACACCCTAAAGTTACTGACAAAGCCTGTGGCAGCCTCACTCAATCACAACAATACACAGAGGAGCCAGCAAGCCTGCTCTGTAGCAATGCATGTCTTCTGGCAAGAGAAGCAATGCTTGGAAGTGTTTCGATGCTCACGCAGGACACAATCCTGCTTCCTACTCCCACCCCCTGCAATTCTCAACAAACCTACAATATTCAACCCCCCTCCAGCCCTGCTGGCTTGTCCTTGCCTTGCGCTTTCCCTTTTGCCTTTAAGTTCTCGTATCTTCTTCTTCTTTCTTTTTCTTTTGTGTGGAATCTCTATTTTAATCTTTGCCCATCAGAATTCCAAAAACATTGGCTAGCCAAAAGCTTTAGGTTTCCTTTTTCAACCCCTGTCAAACAAATACGAAAAATTGTCAAAGGGTACATGGTTTTAGACTCACCCCTTGGAATTATAGAGAAACCTACAATCATCAACCCCCCTCCGGCCCTGCTGGCTTGTCCTTGCCCTGTGCTGTCCCTTTTCTAACAAGAAAGAGTCCGTCTCTTGATCATGGAGGGTGCTTTGAACCAAAACGACACCAAAATGAAAATTGCAGAAAGTGGCTTGGTTGGTTGTTGGATGGCTCCGCTAACAAGAACTGGAGGCTGTTGCCTGTTAGCGGAAGCACTGCTTGTGTTTTCAGACAACAGAAGCAATGCTTGGAAGCGCCTGGATGGCCAGGCCGGACACAATCCTTTTCTTTTCCCAGAACTGAGCAAAGACACCCCAAAGTTACCCACGAAGCTTGTGGCAGCCTCACTCAATCACAACAGGACACAGAGGAGCTAGCTTGTATGTCTTCTGGCAAGAGAAGCAATGCTTGGAAGTGCCTTGATGCTCAGACAGGACACAATCCTGCTTCCGCGCTCAGAGCTGAGGAAAGATTCCCCGAACTCACCCACAAGGCCTGTTGTGGCATCCTCATTTTTCATTTTGGTGACAACCCACGATGCAGTGTGCTCTGTTTGTCCTGGTTGGCGCTTTTTGGTTTTGTGGGCTCAACTCGTCCCATGTGCATGTTCTAATTGGAAGTGCGCTCAGGTCCCTCTCCCTCCTCCAGTCTCTTCCTCTTCTTCTTCTTCTTCTTCTTCCTTTTTCTTTCTTTCTTCTTTTTGAGATTTTGACTACTAGTATTAGTAGGAGACCTAGTACT